TTTGATCTCCAACACGTTGACGGCTAACTTGCATTTGCGGAAATTTTTCAACAAATTTTTGATGAAGTGGAAAAAGATATTTGTTATTATCGGTATCTAACATTGTGAGGTGAAAATAAGAGCGCATTATAAACTTGTTCATTTCAATAGTCCATTTATTGCGCTTTTTAGGGTAACTGGTGGTGGGTACAGATAAATTGGCCTCAGCCTGCTGCACAACATCCTCCAGAACCATGCTATTTGTGACTGAACTAATGGAGGGTGATGATGGGTATGAATAATTTGATGAAGAGGTTGATGAAAATGGGTCATTGGATGATTGAGATGTTAATGATGAATTGGATGATTCGGCTGTATTATCTTCGGGATCTAGCCCGATGAGGGCCCGCCTGCTCAGCTCCTCACCACCGACGGCTCGTAAGCTGAAACACCCAGCGTCGGCTCCAGGTGCGCCCCGACGAACTCCGGGAAGCGGCCGTAAATTATACCTCTTTTCATTTTTATCCATATCATAAAAAAGGGGGTGTGTGTGGAATCGTTGGTTTGGGTATGGTTAGCCAAGTTGGAAGTGGCATCAGAAAGTGTTAAAAAAGTATGTTTAAGGTGTTATGACATACAACAATAAGTACCTGTACCTAATACCCGTAAGCCCCCCCACCACGACAAGGTGATTCCTTGGGGGGGATATTATTATTATTATTATACAAAAGTTATGCTAAGTAATTGTTAAAATCCTATACATTTTTAACAATGACTTATAGAATTTCTATGTTATGTTTATCAAACAACTCGCCCTTAGAACTATTTACTCAATCAAATCAAATCAAAAAAAAAATTTGGTAAATGCGGAACATGTCAACGATACAAGGATATTCAACGCATACTGTTTTTGACTTACCCATATACATAACAATAATAAGCCTACCTCCTAATAATTTTCTGAATGAAAAAGTAGTTTAAAAGTACGAATTTACGGATAATCGTTGATAAATGACTTTTTATAAATTATTCAGACAGAAAGAAAACATACATAATGAGATGTAACAATTAAATATTTAACGAAAAATATTAAGCCAAACGTAATAAATTTTCGATAAAAAATTGTGGTGGCACGTCACTAATTCGCGGCTAACTTATGCGGCGTGTCCTTGGAATTTACGTACGCGACAATATTGTTCTTTACGCATGACTATTATTTCATTGCTGCTTTTAGCAGTTGTAATAGTAGACATGAACAAGCTTAAGTGGTAATGGTTATTGAATTGAAAAAAAAAACGTTTTCCTGCGATAATCGTAGTAGTGGTGGTGAAAACATTTGATTTGGCTATATTTCTTAAAAACGACATTATTTTAAAAATTAAGTGCTTACATATGAAATGTTATCCCTTTATTTGTATAGTTACAAATTGTGGAAGAATTTCCGCAGTTGGATATGCTGCAAAACACCATGTTTACCTCTCCGTGTCTCAAATAACACTAGTTACCGCAACAAACGCTTTACACGCGCTTGTGACCTACGAGTCACATGCGCGGCGACAAGGTCACGCGTCTATGCCACTTCTATTAGCTTATTATTAAGATTTCTGTGGATGCTAGCTAGTTATCCGGGTCAACATATAGGATACTTTTTACCGCGGGAAAATATCTCATTTCTGAGAAAAATTACAAAAACTGCAATGTAAGAGTGTACTAATATGTAAAACCTAAGAATTTGGTTTTTGGTCATCTGAACGCGAGCGGAGCCGCGGGCAATGCTAGTTTAATTACAAATACACATTTTTTATTCACTGCAACCAGGCCAACTTGTTTAATTTTATTATAATATGGATAAGGAAAAATATTTGGCAAAACTTAATACCTCTATGGTGGTCCAGATGGTCTTCATACTGCTTTTCTAAAGAAATTAAGAAAACAAATCTCATTTCCACCATATATTTTTCAATATGTAGAGATATATTTTAATTGGAAGTTAAACCAGACATATGGAAAAAGTCTTTAATAACTTCAATTTTCAAGTGTGGTGATAAACATAATGTAGAAAATTATCGCGGAGTCTCTAAAATATTAATCATTCCAAAACTATTAGAAAAGATCATCCATGACCACTTGTACCCAGTATTAAGATCCTTTTTTCTGTCCTTTTGTTTTAATGTTAGGAAATGCATTAACGCATACCACCTGCAGACATACAGGTGGTTATGTGTGACTCACCGGCTAGTAAAGCCAACAAGACCTTCTTCGTCTTTATAGGGTGTCGCAGGATCGCTTACACACTCAACCACGACGCCCCAACGGCAGTCTTCATAAAAGTCTTAGTTTTATACGTTCTTCAAGATGTCAGCCCTCTCCTAATAAATAAATTCTAGTTTCATAAAAAAATAAAATCTTACTCGACTTTTCATATTTGCCTATGTTGTACAATTTTGCGCAACCTTGCGTTAAGATTTCAACGGAGCTAGAGATAATAGGTAACCCTTAAAATAGCTATCTACTCTCCATCTAATGTACTTTAAAATTATTAAATCTCTCAAATTATTATTATTTTGATCTATATCTATATTATAAATATGTAATTTCATTCGCATCACAACAGGACGATAGGTTAGGTGCTGTTAATCCTGCGTCCTTAAATACAAAGCCTTTCAATTTCAAAAGAATTCTCTTGGGTTAAATATGTAGGTATAATGTATAAAATGAAATTTTCACAGAGTGTGTATTTCTATTTACGCTATAACAACAAATAATAAAAATATAAGATTTTTTTTTAACGTTCGTAATCGATCATTGAAGTTAATATACAGTATACTATATAAATACATACAGTAAAAGTCCTATTAATAAAAAATACATGTACGATGGTACGGAACTCTTCGTGTGCGAATTCGCCTCGCACTTGACCGATTTTTTATAGTTACTATTATTATTTTTTTATCAGACAAGCGACTTACCCTCTTTTCACTCGGGTGTGTTCCTAAGTTCCTACGTTCTAAACAAAAACAATAAAATAAACAGTTATTTAGCTATGTAAATATCCAAGAACGGCCCGAGCAGTTATTGTGTTTTCCCGAGGGAATAAAAGATTTTCCTGTAGTAAAAGGTTTCCTAAATATGGACTTGAGTAATAAGCTATGACTGCACATACAAATAAACAAACAGACATTATTTTTTATAACTATTGCTTTGGGGTCTGTATTCTGAACACAATACGTTACAGTCATTGTTTGTAAAAAATATTTCATGTACAGATTTCGCTAAGTTACTATTTTATTATATGTATAGATAATAATAGATATGTTAGTAGGGGAGCCCAAGAGGGGATTTTCTGTAGTTACTCGAGCGTTTTTATCAAAACATTTTTTAAATATTTTAGTCGGCTTCCCTAGACGCGCCCCTTTATATAGAAGACTTATATTGTGGTGAAAGTACTCAATAGAGTGCAAGGTAACCTCTTTTATGTTAATCTGCCGCGCTCGAGTAACTACAGAAAATCCCCTCTTGGGCTCCCCTACTATGTATAGTAAGGTGAAATGATGAACACTCGGAAACAATCTATAAAAATAATTATTATGACCACTGTTACGCAGGTTAAAGCTAAAATCACTGATATCAACCTAAATTAATATCGATTGGAAACTGCCATCCATAGATAAAGCATAAAAAATAAATCAAAATAGCTTTACATCATAATACTATTTGATTAATTAGTTATATTTATATCTATACTCTGATATTATAAATGTAAAAGTTTGTGAGTATGGATGTATGTTTGTTACTCTTTCACGCCAGAACGGTTGAACGGATCTGGATGAAATTTGGCACAGAGATAAATTATAGTCTGGAATAGCACATAGGCTTCTTTTTATCCAGGAAAATGTACGATTCCCGTGGGATAGATTTGTTTTTGTTTTTCAGTTTTCTAGTGATATATAAAGTCCTAAACTTATGAAATGCATCTTAATTCATAAGGTTTTGGAGCTTGGGTTTTAGTAGATTGAGTTATTTTTACTGTAAATATACCACTAAGAATATTTTACCAGCAATTGATCGCAAAACAAATTAGCTGTTAAGTGGAAGATTTCATTTACGATTGAATCCATCAATTTGTTGACATTACGTGTTCTTACAAGGCACGAATGAACAATTTGATGCTTTAGTCACTGGTCACAATGCAATCGTTTATCTAATTTATTTGAATGAACGAAAGGATAGGGTCGAAGGTCGATTACCGATCACAAAACATATACAGTAGGTATAAATATTTTTAAGCTTTAAACTACTCAAAGGCTCTAATAGGTATCTAGTATAACAAATTTTATGCTTAGTTCTATACTACTAATATTAAAACCTTAAAATTTGTGAGAATGGATGTATGGATGTTTGTTACTAGTAGGTAGATAAGATAAATGAAAAAAATATAATAGATTTAAATAATTTAATAATGTACTAACTACCGATTTCGGCCAAGTTGGTCAATCTAATTGAGACTAACCGTCTCAACAGTAGATATTATAGGGCACAAGTAGGTATGCGAGCAAACACAAGTACACTCTATTCATGTCACCCTCATACTCCGGAGTACCGACGGCTTAAAGTACTCTCCGTGACACGGCTAACGTCTCAACTCCGGGCTGTTACTGAGAATTGCTTGACAGAAATACATACATGAACAATAACTGAACTTGGCCCGACCCGGGACTCGAACCCAGGATCTGCGGATCTGCGGCCCTACATGCTAGCCACTAGACAACCGAAACAAGTTATTTATTATTATAAAACAAGAACAAATCTACTCGGGAACCATATATTTTTCCGGAATAAAAAGTAGCCTATGTGTTAATCCAGACTATAATCTATCTCTGTGCTAAATTTCACCCAGATCCATTCAGCCGTTCTGGCGTGAAAGAGTAACAAGCATTCATACTTTCACATTTATAATATTAGTATAGACAATAATGTAACGGCCCTTTTCCCTTTCAATGTAAATTAAAATTATTTTGTAGTTTCCTGTGGATGAGTTGATATCTCCGTCATTCAAACCTGAGCACAGGTTCGTGAAATGGAGTGTCCCATCTACAGACGGGGAGCCTGGCAGAGACTACTGGTCCATTACACAATACTTTGTATCAGAAGGTATGTTATTCATCTACCTAAGTAAATGTGGTAGGTGCAGTAACGCTTGTTTCACTAAAGAATTTAATTTATGTATCAATGAGAACCGTATTCTTTAAATAATATTCTAAATTTTCGCCTTATACGCAATAAATGTACCTGTACTCTAAGCATTCAAGGACGACAGCTGTCGTGATGCAGTGCTGAATGACTCTATATTTATTCATTAGACTTCCATGAATGGCATTTATTTTTAACGTAATTTCGTCGATTTAACATAGTTTAATCCATACATCAGAATCATTAAAAGCCGGAGCTGGCCCACAAGTGGAGAATGGCGCCACTTTGCAAGATGGCGGTGTTTGGGTTAGCGACCTGGAAGGACAACTCGTGCGCATCCCAAGCACTGAAGCTGAACTGAACACTACTATATTCAAGAAGCAAAATTGCGTTCCTAACATGGGTAACTATTGTAACATTTAATTGCTACGAAAACTTTTTATTTTTAATTTCAAGTCATAATTGGTAAGATAGAGTGTATGAGAGAGGGAGAGAGAGTGTGTGTGTGAGAGAGAGAGAGAGAGAGAAGGGTCATTTAAAAATAAAATTTTATTTTGTGAAATTAAATGGGATTGAAATTGAAGTTGATTATATCGATTTTAAAAACAAGAAATTTTCAAAATGGTTGCAATTAATTGTTCAATTTACTGCGATAATTTCAGGCATCCACTACCACTACAACATGAGCCGTGAAACGTCTTGTGACACTTTATTTCCATGGTTCGCTCTGACCACTAAAGGGTAATAGCTTTAATTATAACTTCTTCTAAATTTATTTATTATAAGTACATGTAAACACAAAATAAAATATTCTTAATTTTGCGTAAATAAAAAAAACTTTTATAATACTTTATATACTAATAAAAACCGTAATTTCATATATTTGTGTGACAATAAGCGCTTTATGTTATTATTGTGAAAATATTCTTCATAAGCCCGTAATGTAAATTAAGAACTAAAACAAGTTACATTCGTTTTTTAAGTAATACACCAATATACCTACATATTTGTCTTTTAAACAATAAATAATAAGAATAATTATAAATATGTTGGGACATTAACACATAGCACCATCTAGTTCCATGGTAAGCTACGACTTGTGTTATGGATACCAGATAGTTGATACACTACACATACATTTTTTTTTAACGTTGGGAAATACATTTACGCACGAGGTGTGGGACTGACCGGCAAAGCTCTAAATATATACTATACTACCCACTAAAACCCAACAAAACCTTCCCCCGTCTTAATGGGGCGTCGCAGGATCGCTTACGCATTCAACTACGACACCCCGACGGCAGGTCTGCCGAAGCAGACCACAACAACCACGGTGATGCTCCAAAGTCCACTCTGCTATCAGAGAAGTACCAGGAGCAACCCGCATGGTACACCGCCCTCCGAAGAGGGCCTCCCTGTGCGTTTCTTGGCTTCGAGCCCGGTTGGATTGCCGGGCACTACTGAGCTCCCCCACCACGGCAAGGTGAACGCACGTTGGGGGGACACTACACATACCTAGATAACTTTAAATACATACATATTATAAAATATAAACACCCATGACTGGAGTACAAACATTCGTGCTCGTCACACAAATAAATTCCCCCAGAGGAACTCGAGTCCACAACCGGTGGCACAGCAAGTAGAGTCACTACGAACTGAGCCAAACGTGTCGTCAATGGCCCAAACATAAAGTATGGCATAATTATTTTTAACGTTTTTTAACAAAAGATTGCTAGTACAATGATAGAATTTCTAACCCTTAAGGCTTATTCCGTTTGTAAAATTAACTTATTATTAAACCTATTTTGTATACAGAATATTATAAGCTATAACTTTATCAAATTTTATCACGTGCTTCTGAGGGTTAACCGTGTTTAACTAATATATTTTCTCCCTCAACATCTAGATACCTTGTGGGCGTCAGTTTCCAAATGTTCGGTAAGCTGACGAAACCACCAAAGGGTAGAGATTGGTTTGAAGCGTTCGACAGTGGCAGAATATTTGCGGAGGTATATGAAAATAATTATTTGTTGTTATTCTGTTGCTACCCACCATTGTATAGCTATATTATTATTTTTTCAAAAAAATTGTCATGTTATCAGAGGACTTAAACTAAGAGTTAAATTCTGCGTGAAATTTATATGGATGACATCAAATATCGCACGAAATGTGCTCACTGCTTCATGATCTTATAAAGTGTAAAACATTGTCTAAATTAATTATTTTCATTTGCATAATTTGATTTTTATTACAATTTAATCTTTGTTTGTTTTGTGTTATTTGTATTCAGATGACCATTCCCTTTGCACCGGAGTGTCTCTACAAACTAGCTGATAGTCACCCAGTCCTAAGTCTCCACATCTACTACATCGATAGCCCTTGGAACATAAAATGCCGGTAAAATCTTATTTTAATTTAACTTGTAGCACAAAGGAACTTTTTACCTAATTTTTAACCGACTTCCAAAAAGAAGGAGGTTTTCAATTCGTCGGAATCTTTTTTTATGTATGTTCACCGATTACTCGAAGACGCCTGAACCGATTTGGATTTTTTTTGTTTCAAAGGATATACTTCTCAGGTGGTCCCATAAATTTTATCGAAATCGGTCGAGCGGTTTTTAAAAAAATCAACAATAAGTTATTTTTTTAAATAAATTGCTTAATCGTATATTTTATTAAAAAACTTTCTTCCTACAAATTATCTGCTTATTACGTCTACACAAAAAATGGAAAAATAAAAACTAAAAACAACCGACTTCCAGGCACTAAAATCTAAAAAATTACTAAACGGGGGTTTTCATTTAGAATAGATAAATAATATTTTCAAAGTCGTTGCCAGCCGATGCAAAGCAAATCTAATATATGTATTTCTATACGTTAAACACATATTTACATACACCTTTTAAATAAAACTATCTTTTCGGATCTTTTCGCGGATTTATTTGGATTTTTGGTTCCTGACGTTTCGAATGCTTTACAGCAATCATGGTCACGGGAGAGACCGACATGACATATTTACTTATTAGATATTCATATCTTAAAATCCATCCATATCCTCCATCCATATCATAGGTATCCAGCCAAGTTAAAGCCATAGAAACTGGCAGTGGTGACGTAGCACCGTGTGCAACATCATATACAGGATTCGCCAACTTTAGGCAAACCTTATCTATACCTACATATAATAAAATTGTAACTAAGCCGAATCTGTACATTAGATATTTTTTGGAAAATCTTATTGAAATAAACATTATTATCGATACATAGGCCGAATCTATATATATATTTTTAGAGTTTTTAGGATTTTTAGAAGTTTTTAGAATTTTTGTCTGTCTGTCTGTTTGTCTGTCTGTTACCGCATCACAGAAAAACCAGTGACGGGATTTGATAAAATTTTGTATAATGATAGCTGGTTATCCGAGTCAACATATAGAATACTTTTTACCGCGAGAAAATATCTCATTTTTGAGAAAAAATACAAAAACTGCAATGTAAGAGTATACTAATTTGTAAAACCTAAGAATTTGTTTATTGGTCATCTGGACGCGGCCGGAGCCGCGGGCAATGCTAGTATATAATAATAGCCTATGTAATACATATCAAAGTCTATCCGTGTCAGCCATTTAAGTGTGAAGGAATAATAAACATTCATACACACATACAATCTTTCGCATTAATATACGCAAAATAGTACTCCGATTATAATATTTACGTCTTAATTACCATAAGTATAAAATTTTTTTACAGTGATGGAGATTCAGCAAAGCCTGCCGGGGTCCTCAGCCGGCTTGTGCTAAACGGCGAACGCTACTCCTCCGCGATGTGGGATTATATGAAGAAAATATTTAACGGAACAGGATAACCTTTTAACAAAGTTTTACTTATCTTGATTGTATAATTTAAGACGTTTTGTGAGTGATATTATCACAAACATTATATTTTGTATGAATAAATTCCTTTAAATGAGATTTTTTATTTTATTCCTTACTTAATTTGAACCTCATAAATTATACATTGGTATATTTTTTATCTTCACTACTAGTACAAATATGTAATTCCCAAAGCATTTTGTAATGTTAGTTCTAAAGTGCCATCGTAGTCATAAGCCGTTCAAAAGCCTTTTTTTTAATATTGGGAAATGAATTTACGCATACCACCTGCATTCATACAGGTGGTTATGTTGGACTCATCGGCTAGAGGAGTCAGTACTACCCACTAAAACCCAACAGAACCTCCCCCGTCTTAATGGGGCGCCGCAGGATCGTTTACGCACTCAACTACGACGCCCCGACGGCAGGTCTGCAAAAGCAGACCATAACAACCATGGAGTTGCTCTAACAGCCCACTCTGCTATCAGAGAAGTAACAGGGAAAAAACTACGTGGTCATCTCACATTCCCCGTAAGGGGAGTGGGGAAACGGTATCGGGGCATAGCCCCCTGACCGTGGGTTCTTCCGCCGCCCACAAATATGGGCGCGTCGCTGGGAGGGCCCTTCTAGGACCCTTGAGGTTTCCTAATGTTAGTCGCCCGGGCGATCGGCCCGGCCGGGTGAGCCCTATTCAGGGAGGCCCAGCCAGATCAGCGGCGTGGCGGTACTGAGCGTCATGTTGGTGAAGGAGATCCCTAGGGAGCGCATAACGGTCCGGTGGGCGGTGCCAGGGGGCTATGTCCCTGACGTGGGCATGGGATGAAGCGTCCGCCCTCTCCAGCATCCCCCTACTGGAGCGGCGGATGAAGTCGTCGATGCTCTCGACACGGAGGTCACGCTGTATGGTAGCGTTCCTCACGTACCGAGGGCACAGACTATTCTTCGTAGGCAGATCGCCTGTTGCACACGGAGTCTCTTTCGCTGGGTTTCTGAGGCGAGGGCGAACCACGCCGGGGCTGCGTACGTTAGTCGGGACCTAACATAGGTCTTATAGATCCCGACTTTCGTACGCAGGGGCAGCTTCGATGACATGACCGGGCGGAGCTGTGCCATCGCGGCCTTGGCGCTGTTGATAGTGGCGGTGATGTGTCCTTTCATTGAGAGGTAGCAGTCGATGTTGACACCGAGGTATTTAGCCTTGGCCGTCCACTGTATTTCTGTAGCTTCCATCACTAGGGGAGGCGGCGGGCGTCGGTCGTGGCCTATAGAGACTGCCTGTGTCTTAGCGACGTTGACCGACAGTCTCCATTTGTCCAGCCAGGGGGGCAAGGCGTCGAGGGCCCTCTGCATCTTCACGGCGGCGTGGGTGACGTTGAGGGACGTGGTGATGAGCGCCACGTCGTCCGCGAAGAGAGCAAGATGGGCACCGGCGGCTACCGGGATGTCGTCGGTGTACAGCGAGTATAGAAACGGCGACAGCACGCTTCCCTGGGGGACTCCGGCTGAGATTGGCTGCACGGATGACGTGGCGTCGTCCACCCGGACGCGGAAGGAGCGCCCCCGGAGGTACGACGCCACCAGCTGCACGATGCGCCTGGGTGTTGAGGTGGCGATGAGCTTGCAGAGGAGACCCTCATGCCAGACTCTGTCGAAGGCCTTTTCGATGTCGAGGAATGCGGTAACAATCTTCTCCTTCTTGTTGAGTGCTGCGGCGACGTGGTGGAGTACTCGAGCCACCTGGAGTGTCGTCGAGTGGCCGCTGCGGAATCCAAACTGTTCGGGGCGCGGTTGGAAATGCGCCCGGAGATGTGACAGGAGGAGTCGCTCAAACAGCTTGGACATCGCTGAGAGGAGGGTAATCGGCCTGTAATTGCCCGGCTGTAGTGGGCTTTTCCCTGGCTTGGGTATAAGGACGATCACGCCTTTCTTCCAAGGCTCGGGGAAGTGTCCTGTCCTTAGTATTGAATTGAAGAGCCGGACCAGTGTGGCGATGGTCTGGCGCGGTAGGTGACGCAGTGCCCCATTCGTAACTCCGTCTGGTCCCGGGGCTTTGCGTGGCTTCAGACCCGCGATCCCTTTTCGCACCTGGGAGGGTGATAAAAAGAGAGGGGTTTCCTCAGGCGGTATTGGCGTGCGGAGAGATTCAGCTACGGCGGCTTCGGTTTCTGCATGGAATCGTGGATCTCTACTGGGGTTAGGAGAGAACTGAGTTGCCAGGTGTTCGGCGAAAATCTCTGCTCTCTCCGTAGAGTCATAGCATCGGGAGCCGTCGGTGCGGAGCAAGGGTCGCGTGGGCGGCTTCTTCTTGGAGAGCTGACGACACAACCGATGGAGTGATGTCGTGTCGTCAGCGGCTTCCTCCAGACGTCGATCCCAGCTGTCGGCTGAGGCGTCTTCCAGCACACTCTTGATTCGCTCAGCGAGCCGATTCAGTCGTGTTTTGGTAAGGGGGTCCCGGGTCGTCTGCCAGCGTCTCCGTGTACTCCTCTTTTCCTCGAGGAGGCGGCGCAGTTCAGGAGGGGGTGGTGGTAGTCGTCTAGTGTTGCTAGCGGGGGCGGTGGCTTCCTCGACTGCCTCGGTGATAGCCTCGGACAGCTTGGAGGCCAGTGCGTCGATGTCTTCGTCTCCCTCAAGGGGCTCAATCCTTGAGGGAGAGTTGCGGGTCATCAGGTCTGCGAACATATCCCAATTGGTTCGTCCCTTGGCTGGCAGCAAGCCTACACGGAGTGGCGTAGTGGGGATGGTGGCAAGCACTGGCATGTGGTCCGATCCATGGTCATCGGGGATCACCTCCAGCGTCAAATGAGGCAATCCCTTGTGTACGGCGAAGTCGATGACATCGGGGGAGCTGCTAATCGTCCAGGGGTAATGTGTTGGTACTTCTGGGCCGGTGGTGAAGTAGTGGTGCCTTTCCGAGTCCGTGAAGAGGCGCCTGCCGGCGGTGCAGGTGATAGCGGCGTTCCAGGCTGGGTGCTTCGCGTTCCAGTCGCCTGCCACTAGAGTAGGAACGGAGGCATCCAGTAGCGATCGTACTTCAGTGAGGTTAATGTGATTGCCGGGAGGTCGGTAGACGGCGTAGGCATGGAAAAGCGCTCCGTCCATGCTTATCTCCACCCCGAGGGCCTGAAGGGAAGGCGAATTGAGCCTGTTGGGTAGATCTCTGTGCGGGATACCTCTCTTCACCAGCACAAGTAATCCTCTACGACGGGTGACGCTTGCCGTGTATTCCTGTCTGTAGTGATGGTAACCGGGGAAGGATATGGTGTCAGTCGGGCCTAGGTGAGTCTCGTTAATTAGTGCGATGTCGATGCGTTGCTCCCGGAGAGTCCACCTCAACATGGTGGTCTTGGAGCGCAGGCCGTTGGCATTCCAAAGTAGTATCCTTGTCTCAGCCATGGCGAAGCAAGGATACCATTCCGTTGAGTACGACCGCTGTAGGGTCCCCTCCAGTCTGCAGCGCAACGAGTACGTCCTTCAGTATCTCGATTGCAGCGTGCAGAGTGGCATTCGTATGTGGAGCTGGAGCTGGAGTAACAGGGACAACTTGTTGAAACGCTTATAAGCCCAACCTCCCCCCCTCTCCCCGCTTCCCCCACCACGACGGGGATGAAGTCGTTCAAAAGCCTAACGTGCCATCATAGTGACCATTATAGAAATGATTCGTTTTGTTTGTTTGAAATAAACTAATTAATTGATATCTAGACCGAAAACACCAATGACTTTTTTAATCTAACCCGAACCTAGGGGCTTTACAATCTACAGCCGTAAAATTTACATTCACTATACATACATAAGTTACATTATTGTAGCAGTATATAAAGGCAGAAGCTTACATTAATTATCATTGTGTCATATTTATTGATAATAATTATCCATTCGGTAATCTTGGGCTTAAACATTTTATCTAATAAATAGATATTAATCTACTTATATTAAAACCGACAGGTATAAATTAGTAAATATATAGTATTGTTGTGGGCCACTGGCAGTGAAGCATTGAAAATGAAAGGATTCCTAGTCTTCTTAGGGCTTGCCCTTGCATGCGGTAAGATGTGGAAATGAATTATTGTCAACATATTATTTCAATTAATAATTATTTATTTATTTAAAATATCTTTTTAAACATTTTATTATTTTTTCCAGTGTCTGCCCATGATGCCGGATTAAGAGGTAGGTAAGATTAGTACTTACAAGATATTCATGTACCTAATGCTTATACTTATTTAATTTTTTCTAATTTTAATAATTTCAAAATAAATATCAAACAAAGTATTCAATAAATATATTATTATAATATATTCTTTATTGCACATCAAAAACAAAATTTTTAAATATTAAGAGAAATTTGAAGGCAAAGGTGGACTTATCTCTAAAAGAGATCTCTTCCAGTCAACCTAGGAGGTAAGAAAGATTGTCATTTAGCGGAGCAGAAAAAGGTATTATGGAAATAAAGTACAAAAAAACACAGTATATATAAAAAATACATACTTCGTGTAGTCTTTGTACAGTAATAATAAATATATTTATTTACTAGCATTACCCGCGGCTCCGCCCGCGTTCAGATGACCAAAAACCAAATTTTTAGGTTTTACATATTAGTATACTCTTTCTTACATTGCAGTTCTTGTATTTTTTCTCAGAAATGAGACATTTTCCTGCAGGTAAAAGTATCCTATATGTTGACCCAGATAACCAGCTACCATCATACCATATTTCATCAAAATCCTTCCAGTGGTTTTTCCGTGATGCGGTAACAGACAGACAGACAGACAAAAATTCTAAAAACAATAGATTCGGCCTCTGTATCGATAATAATGTCTATTTCAATATGATTTTCCAAAAAATATGTAATGTACAGATTCGGCTTAGTTAGAATTTTATTCTCTCACTTCTATACTCACTTCGTGACTCACTCCGCTCGTGTTCCTAGGTAAGTTTTAACGGTTAGTAATAATAGATTTCTTAACAGATTTTTGTCTGTCTGTCTGGAAGCGCATCACGAGAAAACGATTGGTCAGATTTTGACGAAAATGAAAGGATACTTTTTATTGCGGGAAAATGTACACAGTTCCCGTGGGATAGATTTGTGTCTGTTTTTCTATAGTTTCTAGTCTACAATGTTCTGGGATTATAAATCATGAGATCTAGTTAAATCTTAAGTAATCTAAAGAGACTTAAATATACTAATTTATTACGAGAATATGGAAATTAGCAAAACATAGCTTGAGTGTAAAAAATATTCAGGATTTTTTTATATTCCCAAATTTTCTTTAAAAATGATAAACGTCATCTAATCTAAAAAGCAACAAGAAACGTTTGATCTAAGTATATGTTTTATTTTATGACTCTATGAAGACATTCTATGAGAAAGTAATTAAATATTTATAAGTACCTAACACTTTCTATGGCCACGGCCTGATAATTTGTGTTTACAATCATAATAAAATCATTTAATACTTACCTACTTATATTTTTGTACAATGAATTCAAATTTACGGATGTATTTTTACCATGACTTGAATTGAAAGATAAACGTTTTTTGCTCATCGTAAATAATAACTTTATAAGCAAACTTATTAAAATTTATATTGAAAAATCCAAAGACAAAAATTAGACTGTGGTAAAAACTTATAATTTTTTTATAATTTTATATTCTAAATTACTTCAAAAATGTAAGCTTTACATATTTTCTGATAGCCTTAAACACTTCATTTTGATACCCCACAAATAAATCAATTAGGCAATAGAGAACATATTTTAGTAAATATAAAGTTATTATATTTCAGTCAAGTTCAATGTAGGTCTTAGACCAGGCACAGACTTCTTCTTCGATGTGCCACGCAATGTCATAGCTGCTCTTCTGCAGAGATGGACCGTGACTGACCGTGTCCCTGGATCCCGATCCATCCTAGTTCTCTTTTGCCCGGCTGACCGCGTCCTTTGCGCATACTTCGATGAAAATGGCCATGTAGCTGGATTACAGATTGCTGTAAGTAAAATATAAATTTATTAGCGGCTCACTCTCGCTTCGCTCGGGTTCGCCTCTAGAAAAACAAAATTAAATCTATCTCTCGGGAACCGTACACTTTTCCAGGATAAAAAGTAGCCTATTTGTTATTCCAGACTATAATCTATCTCTGTGCCAAATTTCATTCAGATCCGATAAGCCGTTCTGCCATGAAAGAATAACAAACATCAATACATATCTACTCACAAACTTTCACATTTATAATATTAAATAAATAAAAAATATACTCAAAAGCTCGTAAACTAGCATACAACATTCCTGATGAAAAGCAATAGGTAACTGTAACAACTATACGGTTGTAATACCATTACCAACCAGGGTTCTGAAACTCGCCGTTTAGCGTACCGCTGAAAAGAAGATGAGGTAAGGTTATATCTCCTTGGTTAAGAGGCCTATTACATTATGACCGTGATTTTTCTATTTTATGCCCATCTTTGACGTTCTTATTGAGAGAAACTGAAACTCTTCGACAATTTTGACTCATTGTATGGTGGCGAATAGTTATTAATATAGTTCATAGTCCTCGTGGCCCGAGGACATGATAGAGAAAAAGTTAAAAGTTACTATATTTATGTGTTCATATATTCTATCATATTAAAGATGTTGTATTTTGAAGTTATGTATTGTGATTAGGGAAAATGGAAAAACTTGTGAATGTGTTAGTTACAACTTCAAGTGATATTCAGATTTGAGATAACATGGTAAACATCATTTTATTATTCGCAAATAATTAATTACATTATTCGATAGTTTAATAAATGCAAAATTTTGTTGTTTCTTTTTTAAGAATGAAATAGACATAGGTACTTGGTGGAAACTATAACCACTCATCAAGATGCCAAGAACAAATTTTATTGGCACTCACTTACTGTGTGGGAATCAAACATGAGACAGATGTTGTACCTGTTTTTTTGTTACAGTTGCGTCAAGATGAGTTCACTGAAGGTGTCTATGATTGGTCAGTTCAAGGATTCTCTGAATGGGAACCCACTCCTCGCGAAGGAGAACCCGTTCTTAAATACTGGGTGAAGTCACAATTCTTCGTTTCCGAAGGTTTTTACCTAATCCGACACATAAATATATGATACACTCGTAGATTTCCATAGCTATTTCATCATTATCATATGCCCTGCTCATTTCCCAAATTATTTGGGGTCTCCCTTTACTCGTCACCTCATCATATGCCTTTTATGTATAAAATTAATATTTGATGACACGTTTGGCTCAGTTTGTAGTGATCCTACTTGCTGTGCTAGCGGTCGCGGGTTCGAGTCCCGCTAAGGGCATTCGTTTGGGTGATGAGCACGAATGCTTATACTCCAGTCATGGGTGTTTATATTTATAATATGTACGTATTTAAAGTTATATAATTATGTGTAGTGTATCAACTATCTGGTATCCATAACTCGAGCCTCGAGCTTACCATGGAACTAGATAGTGCTATTTGTTAATGTAATATATTTATTTATTTCAAACGATCTATCTTTCTAATCTTTATTTTTCTTCTTTCTCCCTCTTCCTTACCATCCATCTAAATTCATTTCCATCACTCTTCTAGTCACTTGCGTTTTATCCCTTCACATCATATTTCCATAACTATTTCTTAATATGTTATATTTTATACATATAGGTACATTAGAGAGTATTATTTTAAAACATAATTTTATTTATATTATAGAACTAAATTTTCTTACTAAGTAATGTATAATGCATATTGTAATTGCAGAATATCTTCAAATAAGTGCTGAAGAACGTCGCCAGAGCTACGATGACAAGAAGTTATTGCAAGAAGATGCTGTTTGGTTAAGCGGTTTTGGTGAAAATCTCGATAAAGTCAGTAACAAAGAAAGTGATATCGCAGAGAGTACTTACACGAAACAGGCCTGCATCCCTTGGATGGGTAAGACTATTTTTTTTAACTTTCTTCCTTTATTTAAGAAAAATACATGTACATATTTCCAACTAACTAACTTTTTAGTTTATAGTTAAAATAGTGGGTCTGTACCAAAACGACACCTATAGCGAATAATAATTAATTAAAACATAATAAGACATAACGCTCATGAGTCCTTATAGCTGTATGGCATGGCCATATCCACTTCCGCTTCGCGATCCTTGATGGATATCGAGTCTTTAACATACTTTATTTTTGAACTCTTATATATATGTACTTACTAGGCATATAACCCTTCAATCTTCAATTTAATAAACTTAGTAGGTAGTTAAAAAAATACAAAATTTCTATACGTTCGCAGGTCGTCATTATTATTATAACATGACTGAAAATCTCCCTTGCCAAGCTGACTCTTTGTACCCATGGTTCCCATTGGTTCACAACAAGGAATTGATCGGAACTGGATTCGTCATTTTTGGAAAGTTGCCCATCAAGGAAGGAGAACGTGATTGGTTTGAGAGACCACCCAAACTAGCAGTCCAGGTACAGTATACATTGTATAATTCTAATATACTCGTAAATAGATAAATTTTAAAACGTTGTATCTTCTCTATTCTACGTGACATTGGCATCGAAGTAATCTATGCTTAACTGGCACGCTTTGAAGCGAGAATTGAATTGCATTGAAATTTTAAAATTTATTCCTTAATGATTAATAAATAAGTAAAATTTAAATTAAGTAGTGTAAATTAGTTATACTATATTATAACATACCCCTTCTTGGGAAGTTTTAGATTTTACTTTGCAATAATAGGTACCTATATAATGGAGTAGTATGAAATATTTTCGCGGATTCAGCTGTCGAGTTTCATAAAAGTTTTCAGTTATAGAATAGCGATCACTCACATCGAGGGTCAATGAAACGTTACACGTAACGAAAGTAAAAAATGTTACTGAATAGAGAATGCTAACCTTACCTACTTACAGAATGACGAATTAATAAGCCAGAAGCAAATTACATTTGATTACAATATCAGGCAACATCTTACATCAGCTATGTACTCGTATTAATAAGTACCTAAATAATTTTTCATTTTTAGCTTATTGTACCTCGCGGACCTGAGTGTCTGTATGAGTTGGCTTCCTCCCCCGGACTTGTTACCATGCACGTCTACTACATCAACAGACCTTGGAGTCTTGGCTGTCTCTTCCAATAAACTATATAAATCTTATGTATTGACATTATGCAGGTAATATTATGTCAATCTCATTAAATAATAGTTTACAATTGTTAAAAACTTACTAAAAATAAGACCTGTAATAATAGGTAGGTATATCTAATATAATAAATCAAGCAACATCAGTTACGTACTCGTAGATAAGATATGTAATAAGTATTGCTTAAAAATTAAAAAGTAAATAATTTAGGTATCCATTTAACATTTTATAGGCTATCCATAGACCTAAAACAACGTCAAATAAACCTGACATTTTAATGAAATATGTTTAAATTATTTATATCCAACCAAAATTTCCTCCTTCCCCATCTTTACTTCCCTACAGATACAGTAGCTCTAGCTTAATGTTATTCTTAATGAATGTGGGTAACTACTACTGATTGATTCTGCTTACAGCGGCTAATCCACTAACAATCAGACTAGCTACCAACTAATATGCGCGCAATTTCAGGGAGAGATCGTGGTGAAACACTGGTCTGTTACCTACTAAGAATTTATTAATAAGTAGCGACTCACCCTCGCTCCGCTCGGGTTCGTCCCTACTTACCGTTTTAACGTTTAGTATAGATTTCTCAGATATGAGATATTTTCCCGCAGTAAAAAGTATAGTATATGTTGACACGGATAACCAGCTATCATCATACCAAATTTCATCAAAATTCCTCCAGTAGTTTTTCGGTAATGCGGTAACAGACAGACAGACAAAAATCCTAAAAACTATAGATTCGGCCTCAGTATCGGTAATAATGTCTATTTCAATAAGATTTCCCAAAAAATATTTAATGTACAGATTCGGCTTAGTTACAATTTTATTATATGTATAGAAAACCCAATAATTATAAATTGTCCAGACCTGGGATTCGAACCTAGTACCTACGAATCCGCGGCCGTACTTATAATACTAGACCGAGCCATTTAAATATTAGACCTTACTTTTCTACTACACTTGTCACCAACGTATATAAGATTTTGATAATCGGACTACTATTATATAAATGCAAAAATTTGTATATGTGTATATGTTAGATAGGTACTTCTTTACTCCGAAACGTTTAGATTGTTTTACAATAACATATCGTGCAGACAGACATGACCTGGAGTAAGACTTAGGCTACCATTAGGTACCCGGTATACAAGGACACAACATGCGAAGCAATGTGCGAAAAAAATACAAAGGTAAGTTGGTAGTAATGTCATCAAGGTGAAATTATTCAATAAAAAGGTCCCATTGAAATAGTCCATCCACTAATTATTGAATATCGCATCAGTTTAATATTTTAGATTTAAGATACATATTTTAAATTTTGTAATTTTAAAATAAAGGACTTTGATTAATTTCAAATCAAATTAAAATACATTTTTTTACTTAAAAACATTTATTTAACATTTAAAGGGGTTTTAAAGGATTTCTTCTTGATCTTTTGCTGCCTGCGTTTAAGATGTCTTTGAACGCGACCAGTACCTTCTTTCCTTAACTCCTCATATTGTTTGACAAGTGATTCTACACGTGATTCAGCTGAAATAAAAAAAAATATGTATATACTATTAAAAATTCCAAGGTTTACATGTTTGTAACCCTTCACCTCCTAAGTGGGTTGACTGATTCTCATGATTTTTTTGTTTTGTACCTATGGATCATCTGGATGGCTTTTTTCTACAGTAGAACCCGATACGCGGGATTGTTTTAAAGATCTACTTTTTTTTTACTTAATATAAACAAGGTTTGTGGCAGGAAAATATCTATCTATTGAGTACATGATTTGGGCATGATTTTTCTTATTCATTATAAACATAATTTAAATAATAGTATTATTTTATATTTACATTTGTTCTTAAAATGTGGTTGCTTTCCTTGCTTAAATTCTGCCTCAACTTCAAATTTCATTTTGTTTTGTTTTTCTCTATCTAATTTCTTTTTTTTGCTTTGTTTATGTTGATCATTTAATCTTTGCAAAAGTCTCCGAAGCTTTGTTTCTTTTTCAGGGTCAGTGGTTTCTTTCAATTCTGCCCTTATTGCTTTAATATCATTGATTCTAATACCAGAGAGGAAGTTATAGTTTTCAGAAAATTCTTTCTTATCAAAAGTACCACATAGAGGGTCAAACCTGTAAGTAAATATATTTTAGTTTAAAATTTCTGAAATTACTTGTTAGGTAACAGGTGCATAAACAAGGGCAAACAAAATGAGAAGAAGAAATGCAAATATATGTATAAGCAAAAATTTTAAAAAATAAATTATACAAATGTTAAGTGTAGAATGATGTTATTTGAAATAGGTTGTAGCCTAATTTTGCATTTCTTATTACTTATATTTTGTAGCTACATATAACAAAATCACTTTAATTATGAATCAAAATAAAGCTTTTGTAGATTTATTTGGATTCATTTAATTCAAATAATTTTAAATTGAATGTTATAATAGATTGAAGAGATGATGTTGTTTAAAGAAAGATATGATACTTATGTGTTACAAAAAAATATTATTTTCACGTTACCTGGGGTCACGAATTTCTGTTTTTTTTACAGGAACAATGTCTTGTAACATAGATACAGGTTTTTTAGAACTCATTTCTCTTGGTCTATTTTTATTTTCTCTTTTAAAAACCTTTTTTTCATTACGGACATTTTCTTTCTTACCAAATATAACTTCTTTGTACATCTTTGCACCAACTTTTTCTTTCAGTTTCTGGAGATCCTCAAATGACAAGGTTGATAGTTCTTGCCTTATTTCCATCTACAATGAAAGATAAATAATTTAAATATATGTGAACAAAACATGTTATGGATATAACATTTATCGTAATGCTTATATTTGCTTACACGTTCATCATCATCTTCATCTACATCAGAATTATTCTTAGAGCTTTCTTCAGTGTTTATCATTTTAAAAAAGATAGAAATAGGTCACAGTCGTACAAGATCTTTATTTTATCACAAATATTTGCCTTTATTATTTTAAGATTAGTACTTTAATGCAAATTACGATTTATATTATATATAAAATTAAAAATATAACCACAAAATCACAAAATAAAACGTATTAAGTTTTATTGCCAATGTTAAAAATAAATATGTCACAGTCCACAGACTAATTAGTTCTAATTTGACACTGTCATAGAGAATACTGCCTCGCTATAAAATTTAAATATAAGAATATAATTTTGATAGATGTCGGTAAAAAATAAATGTGTCAGGTTGTGTTAATAAATTGTAAATTGAAATAAATAAAAGTATGCTTATTTAAAAGGGATTTTATTAAAGACAACTCCACTGCGATAAAACTACTCTCTATAAAAGGTTATGGGCTGCGCGTAAACGCGAGAAATCGTATATTGAAAAAGAGAAAGATGAGCCATCATGTGCACATAGAGCCATTAAAAAGAGAAAATTACGATACATGGAGAATTCATGCAAAAGCTCTGTTGTTGAAACTTGGTCTTTGGAACTATGTTTCTAATAAAATTAAGAAGCCAATAAGCGAAGGCGACGAACTGAGCAAATATATAGAAAAAGATGGGTTAGCATTAGCTGAATTATTTCTTATAATATCTCCAAGCGAACTAAAACAAGTAAAAAATCGTCAAACAAGTAAAGAAGTCTGGGATACGCTTGAAAATATATATAATAGTAAAGGTCCCGCTAAAAAAGCAACCCTGTTAAAAAGAAATTAAATTAAGAAAAATGAAAGACAATGACAGCATAGTTGATCATTTAAACAAATTTATGGATATTGTCGATAAACTAGCCGACATGGATATAATAATTAATAAAGATTTATTAAGTATAATGCTGCTATATAGTTTACCACAATCTTTTGAAAATTTTCGCATAGCCATAGAATCTAGAGATGATTTACCAAATCCAGATAGCCTGAAAATAAAAATCATTGAGGAAGCTGAAGCACGAAAAAATATGGCTACTACAACTGATGGGAACTCAGAACAAGAGGTACTGTACAGCAAGCAGCAAAGAAAAAATAAGAAATATTTTTTCTTTGCTGAATGCTACAAATGTCATAAAAAGGGGCATAAAGCGAATGAATGCTGGTCAAAAGTGAACAAAACAAAAAGCAGTGCGAATTATTCCATAGAAACATGTCTAAATGCTAATAATAATAAAGAAAAAGCCAGAAAATGGTGTCTTGATAGTGGATGCACGTCACATATGAGTCATGAATTGGAAAGATTCCATAACGTAGAAAAAGAAGACTATAAAACTATAAGGTTAGCTTCAGAGAACTGTACAGCACAAATTGAAGGTCGAGGTTCAGTGAAACTGAACATAAAGGAAATACCTGGTCTACAACTGACTGAAGCCTTGTATGTACCATCGCTGACTACAAATCTTATGTCAGTAGGAAAAATGACAGATAAAGGTGCAACAGTTTTATTTAAGAAGCAACAAGCAAGCGTTATGCGAAATGGTCAAATTCTATTAAAAGCAGAAAGAAATGAAGATGGTTTATATTACGTTAAAGAAAATTTAGAAGAGAAATCCAACTATTGTGGAACAAATAAAATGCAACTATGGCATAGAAAACTAGCACACCTTAATGAGAGGCAAATGAGAATAGCTCTTGATAAGAAAAGTATGGAAGGCTTAGAATTTAATAAATCTGATACAGTTAGGGATTGTGTAGTCTGTGCTAAAGGTAAGGCAAAAAAACTGCCGTTTAATACATGTAAAAATGAGCAACGGACAAATCATAGATTAGAAATTGTACATACTGGTGTATGTGGTCCCATGAGACAGTCATCTAAGGGAGATTCAAAATATTTCATCACATTCACAGATGATAATTCGAGATATACACGAGTATATACAATGAAAACTAAAGATGAAGCCCTATCAAAATTTATAGAATTTAAAAACGAGGCTGAACGATTCACGAAAAATAAAATAATATATTTGCAAAGTGATAATGGGACAGAGTATATAAACAAAAGATTTGATAATTTCTTAAAAGACAAAGGTATCAAGAGGAGTCTTTCCGCACCATATACGCCAGAACAAAATGGATTAGCAGAAAGAAAAAATAGAACATTGCTTGATAAAGCTAGATGCATGCTGATAGACGCTAATATGAAAGAAGATTTTTGGGCTGAAGCAATTAGTACAGCTAACAACTTGGCGAATCGAAGTCCTTGCAGCAGCATTGATAATGCGACTCCATTTGAAAAATGTATGCATTTATGCATTTTCACATATTTGGGGCTAAAGCATGCGTATTAAATAAAGGAAAGAAAAATGGCAAATTTAAAGCCAGAGCAACAGCTGGAATTTTCAACGGATATTCCGAAAATCATAAGGCGTACCGGATATTCAACCCGAAAACAGGCAAGGTGATAATCAGCAAAGATGTTAAAGTATTAGATAAAATGTTTTATGAGAACGAGATGAAAGAAGAAGAAAAACAAAAAGAAATTGATAAAAAGGAAATAGAAGTTATATTTTTTCCAGAAAAACATAATAAAGAAAGCAATTATAAGTTAATAGAAAATGAAGGAAATGACTCAGAACATGAATTTAACAATGATGAATTATTCCTAGATGCAACTACAGAAATAGACGAAATAAATAATGACATGTGTACAGATAATGAAGTCGAAGCAACGACCAATAGTATAAAAAGACAGAAAAATCCACCAGCATGGCATCAAGATTATGAGATGGATGCTGAGCAATCATTTCTCTGTGAAATAGATGAAAACAGTGATGAATGGGAAGATGCAATAATAAACGAGATAATAAACACAAGAACGAAAGCAAAAATTAATAGATAATAAAATGATTTTGAAATATATGTATAATGCAATAGGAGAAATAGATAGACGAAAGGCACGACTTGTAGTGCGTGGATTTAATCAGAAAGAAAGTATTGATTACACAGAAACATTTGCACCTGTTGCAAAAATGAGTACTATTAGGCTACTCAATGCAATGCGATTGAAAATGACATGAAGTTATCCCAAAGATGTGTGTACTGCATTTTTAAACGGCGATATAGACGAACAAATTTACATGAAGATGCCGAAAAATTTGGATAAATACTTAAAAATGATAATAACAAATGGAAAAGATAAAGAATTAATAAGAAAAACAAAAGAAATGCTATCAGATATAAATAGATATAAAAATAATGGGATATGTAAATTAAATAAAGCTATTTATGGGTTGAAAGAAGCAGGACGACAATGGTTCTTGAAGTTACATAATAAATTGATGGAAATCGGATTTAAGAACTCTACAGCAGATCCTTGCTTATATATTTTAGAAAAAGAAGGTGAAAAGCTATTAGCAAACATTTATGTGGATGATTTAATACTGGCATATAAATCAGAAAATTTGTTAAAAGAGGTCAAAATGAAATTACAAAAAGCTTTTCAATTAAGAGATATGGGTTCGCTACATCATTGCCTTGGCATACAATTCACCCATGTAGGGGGAGAAATGAGGTTGTCACAGACAAGTTATATTGAAAACTTAATAGAAAAATTTAACATGGGCGAATGTAAGCCGGTTTCAACGCCGATGGAAACAGGTTTAAAATTGGAAAGAGCACAAAAAGAAGAAGAAATGGAGAACATACCATACCAGGCATTGATTGGTTCTTTGATGTATCTGGCTATAGCTACGAGACCAGTTATGTTTACAGTAAGTTATTTGAGCCAATATAATACTTGTTTTGGAAAAACGCATTGGCAAGCAGCAAAAAGGGTTTTGCGTTATTTAAAAGACACGAAGAATGTTAGCATCAGATATAGTAAAACAGGAAGTGCATTAGTAGGAATGGCTGATGCTGATTGGGCAGCATGTACCATTGACCGTCGTTCATATACGGGTTACATCTTCAAGTATGGAGGTGGTCTAATAAGTTATGCTACAAAGAAGCAACGAGTTGTAGCTTTGTCAACTGCTGAGGCAGAATATATGGCAATGACTGAAGCCGCAAAGGAAGCGCTACACTTAAAACAGCTTTTGGAAGATATTGGAGTGACTACACAAGCACTACCAATCTACAACGATAATTTAGCTGCACAGAATTTAGCCAACAATTTAATGACTGGAAAAAGATCAAAGCATATAAGCATAAGGGAACACTTTATAAGAGACTGTGTCCAAAAGAAACTAATAACAATCCATTATAAGGACACAGACAATATGGAGGCAGATCTTTTAACAAAGGCCTTAACCCAGCCAAGGTTAATAAAACTGCTGAAGATGATAAGGGTCACTTAGACCTGAGGTGACACCTCAAGATCTTCGTGAGGGGGAGTGTCATAGGAATAGTGGATAAAATAGGAGATTAAATGGTAGGGGAGCCCACGAAGCTAAATGGGGATTTACTCGAGCGTCGTAGAGACCTATTGGGATGCAAAGCTTAGATGATAAGAAGAAAAAAATGTTATATGATATATACCTTTACATCAGTGGGGGAAGCGGCTATAGATTTTTAAATATGTAAAAAAAAACTGTTGCATAGACATCCTCGAGCGCGTCAGATATTGATAGCATAAATGCCCTACGTATTTTTAATAATGTACGTATGTTAATCTGATCGTTTGCATGATGCGGGTGGTTGTATTTAAGGGTTGAAAATGAAAAAAAAAATTTTTTTCGAGCGCGTCAGATTTTCTAAGGGAGTGTTAATTGCACCAAAAAAAAGCTCTCATTCACTAATCTGACGATTTCGATGGGACGCAAACTCGCGGCCATTTTCATAATGTGCAAAAAAAAATCGCCATTTTGAAATACTCAAGCGCGTCAGATTAAGATATATATGGTTCATCTTTATGTTCTAAACGTACTGTCTCATAATCTGACGATTATCTAGAGGGATTCGCCTGATCTGACAAAAAAAAATTAGAAAAACGGTTCACCTT